AAAATATATTTTATTTTAATTAATGTCAACAAATGAAGAAGTCTCTGTTGAAGCAAATTGCAGACGACAGCTTATGACATGACGAATATATACAAAAGCGACAGGCAAATTTCTTCATACACACAATGCGGAAAGAAGCATTGGAGAATAAATTGTAACAACAGGCAAGTTTGATGGAAAGAGAGGCAGAGGCAGACAGAGGAAAAAGATACTGGACAGAATGACAACGTGGCTGGGAACAGCAAGAACAACAGACGCCATCGCTGCAACGCAAGACAGAGTGAAGTGGAGGTCCATGATCGCCCACGCCAGTCGGCAAGGCATCCAGTGCTGACGATGATGATGATTTAATTTAGTCTTCAGCATAAGCCTTCCTCATCGCGTGCCGGGGTAGGGCATATATAGGCCGCCAACAAGAGCTCTGCGGGCGACCTGAGCAGAGTTCGATGACCTGTGAGGCAGCGTGGTGGAATCAGGCTCTCGTCAATTTTTGGGCATGTAGAGTTATTGGTATCATCGTAAAGTTAAAGCTTGTTCACTTGTCTTTATTTGGATGAGAAAAATATCCATGTAGATCTATCTTAAATACAAGTCGAGATATTTGTGAATGAAGGAGGTGGGGGTCACCTGTTTTCAGAGGTAAAATTAGAGAGGAAATGGCCGCCGAAGGTTTGTTATTTCCGTAGCTTAAGAATCCGTGGTAACTGAAAATGTGCGTTTTTTGGTACCTTTAAGTTTAATCAACGTTTTTCAGAAAAATCCACATAGAAATGAGTTCTGTAATGGGCATGAAAGGTGTTGAGCCAAAACAAAAACTAAATTTGATAAAAATTCACAAACCTGCTGAAAAATGCAAGTTTCTTCACTTTGATTATTTTGACGAGAGCCTGATTCCACCACGCTGCCTAACTATTATTGAGTATCTCGGTCTTTCTGCTGGGATGTTGAGCTCCGGTCCTCGCAGCCCGGGTTGGCCGTGACAGGCAGGGTTGGAAGCCTGCCCCCTAAATGGTCTAACTTGTGTCGATTGGGGCTTTAAAATGAAAACAAAATCTATGTTTTAAAAAATTACAGCATACATCATGTCGTATTCCGACAAACTAAACGTCAGGGGCTGTCGTGGTCTAGAGGTACAGTGTTCCCCTCCCGTTCAATATATCCCGGGTTTTAAACCTGACTGTGACGAAAAATTTGTTTCCTTAAAAATGTTCACCTTTCCCGCTCTCTAATCCTGGTCTGTCGTCTATTTGCTTCTCCACTTTCTGCCCCCCCCCCCTCTCTTTTTTTTTTCTTTTTCTCTGGGCTTCTGGCTCTTTCTGCTGCCTTTCTACTGCTGCTCCTTGGCTCCTTCTTACTGCTGTCTTTCAGCAACACCCTTGATCTTAGGGTAGGTAAGATCAAACACCTAGCCTTCTCGAATATAAGGGTGAGCAAAATTTCGGAAGTCCCGTGTGCAAGTTGCGCACATTAAAGATCCCTTGGTGGTCTTAAATCGGTAAGTGTGAGCTTCGGTCGCCACCCGGGCAGAATTCAAAGTTAATTCCGCCAGACAAATATTATTGCTTAATGTATCGCTGGCGCTCATGTGACCTATGCAGTTGCGAGCGCTGCAAACCACTAACCAAAAACAAACAAACTAATCACTAAACCAGTGACAACAACTTTGATAACTTGTAACGCCGGAGGGGTGCTGACACTAAGTAAAACCCTCTGTCCGCAGGTACCCCATGTACCCTGTAAAGAACGTTCTCGCTGACGAGTGTATGTCGAGGCATCCATTGACAGTATACTCGCTCGTCGCTCCCCCGCACACCTGAGCATACAGTCGAACCTGCCCCAACGGCCATATGAATGAGACAATGACCTGTACAGACGGCCACCTGTATGAGACAATCACCTGTATAAACGGCCACCCGTATAAGACAATGACCTGTACAAACGACCTTCTTCTTCTTCTTCTTCTTCTTCTTCTTCTTCTTCTTCTTCTTCTTCTTCTTCTTCTTCTTCTTCTTCTTCTTCTTCTTCTTCTTCTTC